ACTATGGGATGGGAGTGCCCACAAAGACAAACAACTGCAGATTTCTTGACTTCATTAACCAATCCTGTCGAAAGAGTTGCAAGACCAGGATTTGAGAATGGTCTTCCTTACACAGCCAAAGAATTTGAAACGTACTGGAAGAATTCTCCACAATACAAGAAATTAGTTGCCGATATTGAAGAATATTTCCAGAAGACTGATAATGGTAGCCATGGTGAAGAATATCATAAAGCACATGTTGCAAGACAGTCAAACCATATTTCTCCAAAATCTCCATTTACAGTATCATTCTTCATGCAAACTAGATACATCATGGGTAGAAACATATTGAGACTTAAGGGTGATCCGTCTATTGCTATTCAATCGATTTTTGGTCAAGCAGTCATGGGTTTGATTTTGTCTTCAGTTTTCTATAATTTACAGCCAGTAACCGACTCCTTCTATTATAGAGGTGCTGCTATGTTCTTCGCTGTTTTGTTTAATGCGTTCTCCTCCTTATTAGAAATCATGGCGTTATTCGAAGCAAGACCAATTGTTGAAAAACACAAACAATATGCTTTATACCGTCCATCTGCCGACGCATTAGCGGGTATTATTACTGAATTGCCTACCAAACTTTTTATGTCTATGAGTTTTAATTTCGTCTTTTATTTTATGGTACATTTTAGACGTGATGCAGGCAGATTCTTCTTTTACTGGTTAATGTGTTGTATGTGTACTTTGGTTATGTCACATTTGTTTAGGTCATTAGGTGCCGTCTCTAACTCTTTGGCAGGTGCTATGACACCAGCTACAGTTTTATTATTGGCCATGGTTATTTTCACAGGTTTCGTTATTCCAACTCCAAATATGTTGGGCTGGTCAAGATGGATTAATTACATTAACCCTGTTGCATATGTTTTCGAAGCATTAATGACTAATGAATTTAGTGGCCGTGAATTTGAGTGCTCCCAATTCGTCCCAGCTGGTCCAGGTTATATGGATGTTTCTGCTGAACAAAGGGTATGTTCAACTACTGGTAGTAGACCAGGTTCCAATGTTGTTCTCGGTTCAGAATATCTTGCTACATCCTTTGAATACTACGCATCTCATAAATGGAGAAATTTCGGTATTACACTTGCGTTCGTGATATTTTTCTTATTCATCTATATTTCATTGACTGAATTCAACAAGGGTTCCATGCAAAAGGGTGAAGTTGCATTATTTTTAAAGAGTTCATTGAAAGACCAGAAGAAAAAGTCTGACAAATCGACAGCCACCACAAATGATATTGAAAACTCTACTGTTTCAAATGAGAAAATTTCACAGAGAGATCAATTAGAAGCCAATAAACAAATTGAGGCAACTAATAATGCGTTGCCATC